ACGTGACTTAATAATTTCGAAATAAATCTGCAATTTTTGTATATAATTTAATAAACAAAAAATATTTCTATTTTCGAATTTGATTATAGAATGATTATAAACCAAATTTTTCATTCAAATCGTTCTAAATAATGCATAATTAACAGAAATTCCTTCGGTTCTTTTGCACTGCGTGCGACGTACTGTTTTTCCAGTTCCGTTAGTTGACCGATAATTTGAAGAATATTTTGGATCAATAGCTACTTATATACTCAGTATATATCAATTAAACATGACTCATGAGGAAAAGAATATCTTTCTTATTCAATCGGAAATAAATTTCTGAGTCCAAGGTCATTTCAAGATGATACTACGCTATATATGTATACTTTGTATTGTATTGATATCAGTTATAATAATATCAAATTAAAAAATATACGTGATATCTTTTGTAATATTGTTCTTGAATTTTTATTTGAATATAAGAAAAATTTTCTTGATATTTCGATTATCGAAAAAATCTTTAATCTTCAGATAGATTAAATAAGTGTAAATTTTTTCAAAAATTATTGAAAGTATGAAATATTAAAAAAAAATTAACAAGTGAACAAAATAAATTCAAGAATTCTATTATATTATAATAATAAAAAGAATTAATTATTTTTATTAATATTAAAATATTTACAACTTTAAAAATACATAAAAAATTAATTTTGAAATTAAAATTTCTCCTTTCGTTAATACATATATTCTTTCAAATATAACATTATCCTTCAGACACATTGATAAATAAAGAAAATATTTGAATATGTTATTCATTTTATATATAAAAGAATAATAAAATACGTTTCCACAAAGGATTAAACTTTTTCAGTCAGCAATATCAGTGAATCATGAGATTTAATCAGAACGAGCGCGTAACAAAAAAGAAATTTATTGTCAACAGATAAGAAATACAATTCTTTTCCTTGTAAATTATGCTTCTGACTCGATTAAATAAAATTCTGAAAGAGAATACGTAATATAGGTAGATCGTCGGGATTCTCCGTTAACCGATACTCATGGTTCCCCATTTTAGGTTGCCACAAACGAGCGGATGACCTACTTGTTAATTGGCCGACAGATAGGAGCGGCCTGATTACGACCAACACGCCTCGATAATCTGATAACGTATCATTGCCCACGAATTCACGAACGCGATGAAAAAGGGATCCTTTCAAAGATTCGATAAAAGTTGTTCAGCGTAAAAATCGAACATATAATAAGATATTTCATAAAAATTGGCGATACGATTATAAACAGTTTTCATCGTTTTTTGCTTTTGTTATTTTCTTTCGTAATATCTTTTTGCTTCTATATGCCGAGTATCGTAATTACAACCGTATTAATTAGTAACATCTTGATACGAATGCTATTTGAATAAAAAAATTAATTATGATCATTTTTAACGAAGATATCAGTCGAAGTTTTTTAGTTTCTTAGTTTTTTTTTAAATTTGTTTTTTTAGCTTTTTTTTAAATTTAATTAATATTTTTTATAGTTAATGAAAGTTGTTATTGAAGCATATTATTATTAAATTTATTAAATATTTTAATTAATTATTTGCAAATGAAATTTTGTATCTGGAAAAGATATGCTTTTGCAATGAATTCAATTTGCGTAAAGTTTTTTTACGAACGTTTAATTTTTTTCGTGACACGTACAATTTGTAGATAACATAAATGCTGTGTGCATATTTAATATATAATTGAATTTATCTTATATATACATAAACAGAAATAAATAAATGCAGGGAATGAAAATATAAATAACTTATCGTATCTTATCGTTCATCACAGATAGATAAATATAGCATTATGAACGAAGTTTTTTACGAATATATTTATTTTTAAATCAAATTAATTGTCTTATAACGAAAATAATAATTTTCCTTTATGCGTGCAAACAAATTAATGTTAACAAAATTAAACATAATTGAATATTGATTTTGAGAATTAAAAATGGATTTGTGGCAAAAATTATTCATCAAAATTTTTATTTTTCGAATCGTTTCAAAATTTTCAAAGATTAATCTGAACTTTCTAAATTACAGTTTAAAATCCATGATTTCTCTTTTAATCTAGATATTTCAAATTTTAAATTAATTTAAACCACTAATAATTCATGCAAATGATTCGATACAATTGATGGACTTGTAAGAAAACATGATAGAAATGGATAATTTTTAATTGGATTTGTAGATAATATATTAGAAATCTTTAATAATTTCTAATAAAAAAATTCTGTATCTACATTTTTAGAAATAATATATCAAAATTCTTATTTATAAAATATACAATCATATTAAATTCGAATCATAATTATTTATTTAATTTCCATCTTTTGTAACGACCCACAGCAATCAACGAATTGAAATCGAATTCTCCAAATCAAGAATCAATTCACCTATCCATAAACTCTCCTCTCACGAATATTTCGCAAAATATTAATGGATCACGATTCAAATTTTACGAGCACGAATTCGCGAATTAACAATCGATTTTTCATCCCCTAGACGCGATGGAAACGAGGCTCGATTGTTTGTTTTTCTGGTAAATTATGTATGTATGAATTATTTCGTCGTACGAAGTGGCTCTTGTATCACATGTACGATTCGTTTCCGCGTGGAAGTCAAATGCATATCGGTCTCTCGATGAGACGAGGACGGACCCATTTATACCCTTGGGGGGGAAGCGAGAGAGGTGGACAGAGATAGATTGGAGTGAGAGGTAATATAGAAATCTCTATACGCCAGATGCATACGGGGGATGCGTGTGTTTTCATGTTGGAAAAGTTTTTTTTTATCGGTCGGACAAAGGAAACCGCGAAACTCGAGTCGAGCGAGTAATAAATTCGCGCGAGTCTGCGTGACGGCTCAATTTCATACCAACCTGTCCTTCGTGATGTCGATTTGTCAGACGATTTTCCTCTTACATATACATACGCTAAAAAGTATCCGGATATTTATTTTTGTTAGAATACATTTTAAGTTTAAATTTCGAAATTGAGCATAAAAGGATTCTTTGTAATTAGTATATCTGTATATAATAGAGTATCGTTGCATATGCTAATCAAAAGAATTCTTTTATTATTTAAAAAAATGTATTTCTTCAGATTGTTTAATTATATATGTTTTACAAGTATTAACTTTATCACTTGGAATATCTCGCTTGTTTTTGAAAATATTTTTTAAATAAAAAATAAAAGTTAAATGATTTCGAGAAGAACAATAAGACAATTACTTTTTCATAAATTATTGATATCATAAGAAAAAAATAGTAAAATCGATACTAAAAATCGACTAAAATACTGTATAATTATAAATTATATCGGAATTTGATCAAGATAAAACCTGAAAAATGTTTTCTCCACATGTTCGAACAAGATATTCGTGTTCTTTCCATTCTACCGAAGGGATTGTCGTTAAAATTATTCTTAATTGCACGTAGACTCGCTTAATTTCTACTTTTTCCGTATCATTTAAAACCTTAAACATCCTAATGTTTATTTTGTCTAGTTCTTTTCTATTTTCTTTTCGTACCTTCACGCGTATGGCCTCTTCAAACCATTTTTGCTTCCATCTTCCGGAAAACGGAAGCGTATACCGAAGATCATTTCGTTCTACGTGCTATTATTTCGCTACCTTCTGGGGAATTTTTATTCTCTTCTTCGAACTCGTTATCGTTAATTGCTCTTAATTGGAAATTCGTTCACGCGCCAACACCTTTCTTGAATTGAATTTTTGTCGTGGATGTTGGATCACGTTCTTTTGTTTGTTCTCTGTTTCGTTTTATTTTTTTTATTGTACTTTTTTCTTCTTATTTTTTTGGATTATTTATAATCGAATCGAATTTAACATTATGAATAACAAAACAGAGAACATGTTAATTCGATAGTCATAACCTTTACAATAGTTGAATCGTGTGTTGATAAAGTTAAAGAAGATTCGTATTTATTTAGAACAATCTAAATTTTTATTTTAATTGCCTAGTATTTTATTTATCAATTCGTTAACTTTGTATCTTATCATATTGAATTAAAGTCATGATATAAATAATGAATGAATATGATATACAATTTAGAAATATCCAATAGTCCTATAGGAAATAAAATTTTCTATATCTTATCCAATTCTTCTATTGGAAATAAAATTTTCTATATTAATACAAATTCCTTTGTTTTTCTTGAATTTCATTCATTGTATTCCATATTGTATAAATTATATATATCATATTTCATATTTTAATTTGAATAATATATATATTGAAAAATAATACTAATTACATTAATGAAGAAATTCTAAATAATTTCATAACTTTTGTTTATGATTCTTCTGCTATTATTTTAATGTAATTAGGGATAAAGTTTATAGTGTAATAAAGAATAACATTTTGTTGATTAGTTATTACGTTCAATTATATTGCGTTTATCTCCTCTTATTCTTGTAATATATTAAACATAATTTAAAGTAATCTATATAAACTACGGATATATTGTTTCTAATTACTCATAATTTCTCGTGATTACAATTTATTACAATTTATTCTAGGTAAAATATCATCAATAAAGAAGATCTACACTCAAAATAATTAAAGTAATATTTTTTAAAAAAAAAAGTATAAAAATTTTAACAACAAATATATCAGAAAGATATAATAATATTCGCAACTATTTTATAATATCAATAAATTGTCATAACAATTTATCTCTTCTTTGAAAGCAGCTACAGAAAAAAAAAAATCTACAAAAGAAGAAATACAATAAGTACAAAAATAATCGTCACGGTCTGAAAACGGTTCTTTTGACGAATCCCCGGTATTATCCGCGCCGATTATTGCAATTTGTAGCAATTTCTTCAATCCGCGCGTAATGACCGTTCTTTGAGGTGTACGTTTCGCAATAAGGATTCTTAGCAAAAGTCATTCCTATCCAAGTTTTGTAACGAAGCAAAAGAAGAGGGAGGGATAAGAAAAAACATTTACCTACCTTTCGACGCAGGGTAAGAAGACAGAGCATGACTTAACAGGGCCGAATTATTATCTTGAAGAACGTGAGAGGGAGCTTCAAGGGAGGCTGTTCTCGAGTGTCGACATTGTTCTACCTTCTTTAGTTTAATAGCCACTTCCGGTTATCCCCGGAAGAAGCAACCCTCTTAGTAGTGGAGGGAAGGCCTTTTCGAAAAAGGAAAGCGATCCGCTTCTCTATATGCTGACACGAAAGGTCTCCGGTTGCCGCGCGACGATAAGCTTTTATCACTCACAAAACACGCAGCACAAATTCGTAGAATGTCTCAATAAAGATTCCCTTGTGTGTCCGTGATGCTCGCGTTGATGTTTGTTTTATCTCGTTTGTTCTCGTGTCTTGGGTATTTCTAACGGGTTAAAAAAGAGAAGAAAAAGGTAACTTCCCCTTTTCTTCTTCTTTTCTCGTTCTTGTCTATTTATTCACCGAATTGTTGTTTCTCTTCCCTTGTTTTTTTTTTCTTTCTCTGGTAAAAATGTTTTCAAGACTGTCGTAAAGAAACCGTGGTTCCTTTATGCGAATCACTCAAGTTTGAGAAACGAATTTCTCAAAGTTTTACTCTTTCTTTCGAGCGAGATTTATGAACGAAGGGAACACACGACTTCACTCTGGCGGAGGTTGATATAACACTGTCAAAGCAACGGCGCGCGGCAAACGACGAGACAGTTTCACCAGTCAGCTGGCCTGGCGCTCCCCCACTCTTGATACGTCACTGTGTACTCCGTAGGTTTTTTCTATTTTCTCGTCCTCTCCTGTGATTTCGATTATTTAGAACGAGGTGAAATGGTATTCTAAACAATGGAGATATTTTCAGAAACTTTTTTTTTATTTTGATGATGAGTTGTTTGAATACTTGATGTATAATAATAACAATTTGTGTCACGATCATTGAACGTAGAGTTTATTATATTAAAGAAATAAATGAATATTTGCAATTTTTCAAACATCAGAGAAAAAAGAAAATAATTGAGACAACACGTGTCGTGCAATATCGCGTTGAGTTTATATTAAGAATAAAAGAATATACGTTTGCATCATCAATCAAAATCAATATCGTAGGACGGTTTATTCGCAAATATTGTGACATTTATATCAAATAAAGTATTGTTTTTATTAGTCAGATATACCATGAATTTTTTAAAAATTTTGGATTTTGAATTATTCATCCACGCAAAAAATAAAAATTTAAAATTAATTATTTTAGATAATTATCTCCAATATTTATTAAAAAATCATAATCAAAATAATTACCTTCAATGATTTTTCTTTAAAGTATTATTTTTACGTATAAAATTATGACTAATTGTCTATCGAAGAAAATATGTTGACTCTCTGGATTAGACAAGAAAAAATCGATTTTTACCTAGTGGCCTCGTGAAAGTATGCAAAAGCAACAAAAATGCCGATTAATGGATGCTTCTATCTCTTCGACCCATACATTATATTTTCACTGCACAATTATAGAAATCAGTCGGTTTGATTTATTTGCCATGTTAATTATCTCGATGAATAATGAATGAAAGTATATAGAAATAATGAGAATTTTGATTGATATCTTGTGTTCAATATAATTTGAAATATGCATTTTATGAATTTAGAATGGAAAAATTATTTTTTTTTTTTTACAAATAATTTTATTATACATATTTATATTTTTCAGAAAGCACCTATAAACTATTGCAATTAGTAACATGTTTCAACTTGATTTAATCCTTTGATCAATATTGCGTATAGGCAATCCTTTATTTTTAGTATAATTGGTTTTAAATTTTTGTGTTTTCTTGAAAGAATTTATATAAAGGGAATTTAATAATAAAAATTGTAGAGAGAATTGAATCCATTTTATTTATTTTTTTTATTTTTTATTATTTTATAATAATTAATCAATAAATGGAGAATTTCAATAAAAAATTATAATTTTTTATAAACAAATAAAAATTTATAATAAAATTTTTCAAAATTTGTGACAGTATGTTTTCATTACGCAAATTCATTGTGCACGTGAAAACATTTCGTAATTCATGATTCATCGCTTTTCAATCGATAAATATTTTTCTACAATTGCTCGAAGAAAAAGGGAAAAAGCAGAGTGATTCATTAACCGACTTTGCACCTTATTATATTGCTCTTATTTGTTTCAATATCTGTATTCTATATTAACTTGTATATGTCTTCCATAATGTGTAATATTCGTGAAAGTTAGTACACAGAATGATACAGTGAAATTTAACACGCACTTTCACAAGTTATACATCGCAATATAATATTGTAAACTTTCACAAGTAATTCTTCCATTATTAAATTAAAAGAGGATTTGATTAATTTCGTTTTCTAAATAGAAACGATTTTAATAGAAGTCTTCGAGGCTTGAGAACACTTTACTCGCAATAAAGATGAAAGATATTAATTTGAAATAATTAGATATTCAATTACTTTAGAAGATTAAATAAATTATTTTCTATTTGAATGAATTTATTTAAGTAAAATTGTAAGTAATTTCACCACAATTTCTTATAATTATGTAAAAGAGATCTATTTTTATTATGCAATTAATAATTTTGACAGAGATATCAAATAAGAAATTGTTTTAATAATATATTATTACACAATTATTTGAAAATAATAATAATTAAATTATGATGTATTATTTAAATGCTTATTATTCGAATATTTTATTTAAATACCGGTTGAATCAACATGTGTAATGTTTTATAAAAATAGTACATAAGATAACTTGTCCAAGCATGATACTTTTTTTAATTGCGCATGCATGTATTACAAGTACAATGACTCTGTGAATTTAATTAAGATTTAATGAAATATGTGTATGTGTCGCGTAATTTTCTTGAAAACAAAAGCTAGTACAGCAATATTCTATTAATAAGTGATAAATTAGATTCCTTTACTTTAGAATATTATCTTTAACTAGATTATATCGCACGAAATAAATTTTCATAAATAAGAAATGAATTTTTTATTCATTTATAATCGGTTAAAAAATCATAGAGATATCGTATTTTGAATGAATTTTCTAAAAGACTTTTCTTCTTCTATTATTTTAAAAATAACTTCCTTTGCCTCTTATAACATCTACTCTAAGTGGGTACTAGATTGCAGATGTTTATGGAAATTCATATTTTCATAAACACGGGTGAAAAAAACTTAATAAATATTTATCTCACTTTTTAAATATCGTAAATATTTTTTAAAAAAGGTAGAAAGCAGAAATTTCATTCTTTATCTTTAATTAAAAAAAAATATCCAAATTCAATTCTTTGTCTTTATCGTATCATTAATTTTCTGTCAAATTATTAAAAATTATATTTAACAAAGAAGGGAGACTATTTACATGAAATATCGACGAAAAATCATAAACATGCAAAATGAAATTTGTAGCATCAATATGAAACTTTATAATATCGATTACAATCATATCTATTCATATCACCTATGAGAAGAAACTTAGTAAAGAAAGTCATGCACGAACGGATCTATAAATATTAATATACCTGTATCATATTCGCTCGAATTGAAACTCGTTACGAAGTTGAATTCGTTGGGTAATCATCGGTAATAATGCACCGCAATACAGAAGCAACGAACGTAAAAAGCTAGTGCAGGTAACGCGAGATGCGAAATTACACGATGCCATGGCGAAGATTAACTCTTTTTAGCCTTCAAAAGCAACCATGTGTGTGAATATCGCGAAGTAACGCATCGATAAGCAGTCATCTTAGTCGAGGATACGATGATATGAATCGTGATAAACGCGAAAAAATCCAAGAAAATATGAAATTTTTATATATTTTTTTTTGTATAAATATTTCATATTATTTATTATATAGTAGTTCATAAAATTTAAAGAATTAAAAAATTATTTAGTTGTGAATAATTATGGAATAAAAAGAAAACTTTAGTATTTTTAATTTTAGTTAATAATTGAAGGAATTTAAGGAATTAAATAAAAAAAATATATAATTTTAAACAATTATAAAATAAAAGAACAATATCTTCAATATCTTTTTAAAAATTTTAGATAAATTAAATATATGTTAGAATTTATTTTCATATTTTAATAAAAACGTTGATAAATATGACTAATTGATTGGCAAATAAATATAAATAATTAAATATAAACGTAAACACTTTGAAATAACGAAAACATGTTATAATTGTAATTATATATTTGTAATTAAATCTAAACAATTCCTTCATTAAATAAACATGAAAGGATATGAAAAAGATGTTATTTTAAAAAATTAAATGAAAATTTAATTCTAACGAATCATAACGATAAGGAAGAATTTCAGTATTTCATTATGATAATTTTCATTAAACGAATATAATAAATATTATTAATAATGAATTAAGAAATTTTATCAATAAATAATGAAGAAATTAAACGTTATATTAACTTGTTCATAATAATATGCTAATAATAATTTCCTAATTCATTTATTAATTCAAAGATAAAATAAAAAAAAAGAATTTCTTTTCCTTATTAAATATTTTTACAAAATTATTACGCAATTATTACATTTTCACAATTAAATTTTAACGATTTCTACAACTCCGTTAAATTTTTTAATATTATTTTTTATTCATAAGTCGAAATTATAAAGGGATTGATACGAAATCGAAATAATTCAAAGCTGTCAAAATTAAGCTGTGATTGGTATTCATTAGGCGACGAATAATTTTGCGTATGAATTATTTAAATGATCGACGATAAAAGAGAAAACGGAGGGTAGACGAGCAATTTTAACGATCGAGTTACCCGACGTAAATAGCGACGCGATCGATCGTTCTTTTTGTTCTTCGAGTGAATCACGTGGTAAAATCTTTTTTTCAAAAGACGACAATTACGCGTGCAACTGCAATCTGCTCGTAATAAATCTTTTATCATGAATAATATTTGTTTATTTATTTTGAGATTAAGATTTAGCATATTCGCGAAATAAAAATAAATACTTTTTTTTAGTTAACAACATAATCAAATTTCTATTAATAATAATCATAACATTTTATTGTGAAAATAAAAATTATACGTATGATATGTCAATATTCAAAGGAGATAAAATTGAGAAGATTTCAAGAAAAGAATAACTTATAGATTTATGAAAAATTTTTTGGTGACTCATTTTTAATGTAATTTTCCAAAAAAAATATTTTAAGAAACATAAATAGAACTTGTGTATATTTGTTCAAAATATAATTAAAATATTAAATTAGATTAATTAACATTAGAAAGCAGTCATAATACTTTTCTTCTGCATCAAATTTCACATGAATATCATGTGAAATACTTTTGATGACCTCTTAGTTTCTAATTCTAATATTAATTTCTCCTCGCTTCAAAATCTAGCAAATTAATCAAATCAAAAATTACAAAAGATAAACGTATTTACATACGATACATATCCATAAATTAAATCGGTATACTAATTCCGGATACTAATCAAAGGGTGAAAGTATATCATTAAAAAAAATATTCAAAATCAAATCTAGAAAGCTTAGAAATCATCGTGCAATCATTTAATAATAACGCTCGTCGATGTTTTCCATGAGAATGGATTTTTATTTTTATCTTTATTTTTATTTTCATAAAGAGAGATGATTTTATTTTCGATGAACGAAATGT